CGCCACGGGCCAGCCCCAACGCCGCTGCAAGTCTTCCCCCCGGCCCCGACGGCCCCCAGGGCCGGGCACCAGAGGGCACCTGGGGGGACGCGCCGGCCTCGAGCCCCCAGGACCCGAGCACGGGCTGCCTGCTGCCCCCGGACCTGCCCTCTGGCTCCGGCCCCGGGGCCGCGGCGGAGCAGGGCAGGGTGCCTGGGCCGGCCCCGACTGCGAGTCCGAGCTGTCATCGGGCCTGGTGCTGAACACCGAGAGCCGCGCGCCCGCAAGGACCCGGGCCTCCACTCACTTCCTTTCTGCGAAGGGATGGTAACCTCTCCCTACATGGGGCAGTCTTTTCAAATGCGTCAATAAGCGCTACCAGAGTCCCACTCTAGTCTTCCCAGGACCGGGACAGGTACCACCCCGACGCGCACAGTACGCTTTTGTGTCATTTTTTTCAGCTTTCACGAAACGCTGTAGATCAGTTTTGCAAAAGCTATTTTCCATCGCGCATTTGCTAGCCCCATTGCCTTTCCCAGGGCTCAGTCCAGTGCTCTCTTACTCGGGCACGGAAGGATGTGAAGGTTCAGATGCCAGTTTGGCAGCGATGGCCCCGCCACTACAGGCCTGAAGAAGGCTGTGCTGCAGCGTACCTACCTAGAGGATCGTTTGTACAGGCAGCCCTCCCACTTACCACACAACTGGTTCCTGAAAACCAGTTCTTAAGTAGAAACATTGTAACTCGGAACCAATGTTCTCATGAGAAACCATGTTATAAATGGGGGATTGGTTCCTGAACCAAGGCCCCCGTGCCCTATTTTCACTAAAAAATACTCCAGGATTTTGTGCTCAATCACTTATAGATGAGTAATATAGCTATTTTAATGTATTTATATTGTAAATAGCAATCGTATTGATTTGGAAGGACTTCTCTGACATGACTTTGCTGGACTTTTAGAAAGGCTCTTGGTTGGACTTTTTGAAGGGTTCTTGGCTGGAGTCTTCTCAGGAGCCTTGGCTGCAGGTTTTTCTGGAGTCTTGTTTGCTTTCTTAAAGAAAGTGTCCAAGGCAGTTTGAACAGATGTTCTCCAGGGAGATGAATGACACAGCGAACTGGTTTGCTGGCATGGCGTTGCATTGGATCAAGCGTTGTAAAGTCAAAACTGAAGTCAGAAAGTTGAAACAGTGTCAATTTATAAATGTTGTAAGTGTGAAACACTGTAACTCGAAACGTTGTAAGTCCAGGACTGCCTGTATTATTGCCTATGATGGCTGCAAATTACACTTAGTGCCAGGAACTCGCGAGCAGCTATGCACCCACATCACTGCATTTAGGTAATAGAGGCCAATGGACCCATTGCTGGGATTAGTTATCTAAGTGCATAGGCTTCTGCAGCATTAAGGCTCTGGCCTTGCCTGTACACACATCTTTGCCAGCAGTTCTGGGGCAGTAGGCACAGCCACTCGGCCACCACAGCACATGCACAGGAGTATAAACTACAACCGGTGAGGGCAGAAGCTGCTGGTGCAACTGCTGCCTGAAAAGGGATTTCTGCTGCAACAGAGCGCGTTGGCTGTGCATGCACTTATGGCCTTGCCAGCACATCTGGAGCTCTCGGCAGAACAGTGTGATGCAGGCTCAGATTCAGGTAAATGGATGAAATCGAAGAGAGGGATAGATAAATTCTGGACTTCTGCTTTTCAGTTTGTTTACTTGTACGTGGACCTTTCCCATCTCCCCGAAGCGCCAGGTTCTGATCTGCTCGCTGACTTGCACCCTGTGCCAGGGCACTGGTGGTGCTGCCACTTTAAGACCCGAACCTAGCAGCCAGCAGGTGCCTGATTGTGGCAGCCATTTTAGATTCAGGGCTGCCTATATAAGCAGAGCATTTGGCTGCTGGCAGGGCTGGTAGGAATATTACGTGGCTGTGAGGCTTTGTGGGATGCTCTGGAGGCAAGGGGGACGTTATAGGGGATGGCTAGGAGGGTCCTGGTCCTGACCTAAAACTGCACCCTGCCAGGAGTGGGTGGTCTCAGTGGTACAGGAGCCCCCAGGAAATGCCAGGCCAGTTACCACCCTAGTGAAAGGTGGGTTGGGGTGCCTTAATAACCCTAGCTCCCACAACCAGGTGGGTTACCCCATAAAAGGGTCAGGAAGGCAGACCCAAGAGAGAGAGGGCTATAGGCTCATAAGCCTGACTTCAAATTTCTTGACTGGTCAATGCTGGGGCCAGGACTGGAAGGGTCAAAGGGCCAGGGGCGTGCTGCGAGGGATGCCCAGAGCTGAGGGCCTGGTGTTCTGACTGGCCTTAGAGGGGAGGCCAGGGCCAGCGTAGCCAAGGGTCCCAGGGGGGCCAGACCTGTAGGAGGGAGCAGATCAGGGAGCCAGGCAGCCCTAAATGAAGGTGGAGTAGGCTGCTTGAATGGAGGGATCTTAGAGGGGTCCTGACTGGAGGATTCTGGGGCCAGTGACAGTAAGAAGCATGGATGCCATCTGTGAGGCATGGGCTGTGGTGTCAGGGAGATATGGAGTTGAGACAGCACCCCCTGGCATTGGGGTAAAAAATGGGCAGCTTCCCACCTAATTAAGATCATTAATTAACGACAAGGCATGGCTGGTGAGAAGGCGGGTGGTTGGCCCAGAACAGGTGGATTGGGGCCTGGAGAAGCTCCCCTGTTAAGAGTATGGTTTTGGATGTGTGTGAATGACCCCACCTATGAAGGTCCCAGGTGTCTGGAAGATCAAGGAGCTCAGTTCTCCCTGTTGTCTTCATGGGTCTTTCATGAATTGGAGGAAAGAAAAGCATTACAATACACATCAGAAACTGCAACCCTAAAACCACTCAACTTGGCAGTGGAATTGGCGCCAGGTGCAATGCCTGAAAACACTTTGGAAGACTAGGTCTCAAGGTGCTAGCACTTCTTTACTAAATATGTTAAGTTTTTATCAGTCTCGTTGCTTTTATCCACATCCAAAAATACTTTGCTTACTTGGTATGAGGCATGTCTTTCTCTTTTTCCTAGAAGATTCAAAGGACACCTGCAGAATCATTAGAATTAGGATGCTATAAGTAACTATCAAGGAAGTGAAACTGGTGCATCTGAAAGTGAAAGAGTTGTATTCAAAGCCTTGAACTTTTTGTTTGGTGGGTTTTCTTTGGTTATTTTGTTTTGGGGGGGGGTTGGTTTTGTTGTTTTGATAGCCAGGGCTTGACAAGCAGCTAGAGGAAACAGCATTTCCATTCCTGTGATGTGTTGAAAAACTTCCACCCCATCCCCCTGCAGATCTTTTAGAACAACTGGGAAAGCAACAGAAGTCATTGCTATTTCTTAGGTAAAAATCAAAAGAAGGGCAAAATACCACAA